GCATGCTTAGTGTGAGGGATTGGTGAACAGCCAATGAGTCGATGCAATCAGCTGGTTTTCCTTAGATATAAAATGCTGAATCAATGTGACTGGATGAACTGGTGAACTGTAAAGTGACCTGAGATGATGTGTGTTGGCACGATAGAAATAAACTGAATAGAATTAAATAGGAATAGTTTGCTACATGTGAAAAGATTTCTGTGTTCCTTCTTGGTCTGATGATTTTATCTTAATCTTAATTTTTTTTTATCAGTGATTTGCAGAAAATCTTCATGATGAACAGAAAGCATGAATCTACTAAATATGTCTAACTTAGTGCCCCCCCCCTGACCTTGATGTCCCTCAGGATGTTGGCGCTGGCCAGAGTGAAGCCGCTGATGTCCTTGGAGTGTCTCAAGTAGCGGTCCAGGCGGTCGTTGAAGTCCACCATGTGGTTCTCTGTGGAATCGATCTGTCTGAGGGCGGCGCCCAAAGAACTGCCTCTCCTTTGGAGGGCTGTCTGTTGATGGCGCCACCGCTCCAGCAGCTCGGCCTTCTCTTGCTCCACCCATGACTCCCCACTCCACTGGGAACACTGGGAAGACTGGTTTACATAATCGGACCAGAGTACCTCGGTCTCCTGCCTAAGGAACTTTGGGGGAAACAGAGAGGATGTCAGACAGTGACTGATGGCTGGGGTGGATCTGTTTACCTCTGAACTCTGCCCCTGCTGGTTCAGACCTGTATTTCTTGGAGTCGTGTGTGAAGGCCTTTCAGGGAGATGAAGTCAGAGGGATCCTCTCTGAAGCTCTGCTCGTTTTTGGCCAGCTGAGCTTGCAGCGTCCGTTTGCAGGTTTCATATCTGGAGATTTCATCAACAGAAAAGAAGGAGACCAAAATTAAATGCAGAATAATGTGATGTAGATGTGAGAAAAGCTCCTAAAATGTAGGAACTCTGCAGTGAATGCACCTTTCTACAGCCTCCTTCTTTGTGATTTCTTCCATGGATGTCTGCATGTCAGCGTCCAGCCTGTCCTCAGACGTCCTCTGCTCGGTGACCTGGACCCCAGAGAGAGCAGACACCGTCACATCTCTGTGTCTGTTTCTGAAGAACTGATTCTGTTTCTGCAGCAGTCGTACCTCTGAAGGAGGTTCCTCTCCTGTCACCTCAGGCCCAGTCGAAGTGCTCTCCACAGACGCTTCATTAGGTCCACTAAATGAAACAATCATCATGAGGACAGGGGCTCTGCAGGCACATTCTGGATGTTTTCTATATAGTTTCCCTGGTCTACTTTCCTAAACCAATCAAATCTAGAGGAATATTTCAGAAGAGTGATTGCATAAACCACCAAAATAATTAGTTTCATCCAGACAATCAATTTCTTTGTGGTTGGACTAGGTGCTGCCCCAACTTGTTGCTCACCACATAGCAAAATAAAAAGTTTTTCAAGATTATGCAAAGTTAAATGTGACACTGTTACCATTAGTTATAAAACCAAGAAACTGAAGTCTAAGGAAGTTATCATCCAGAATTGTAGAAAAATGTTCTTTTAATAGGATAATGCAGTAAAGAACAAGAAAACCAGTTTTTCCAGTTTTACTTTTATACTTTAATTAGTTTTAGAAATTGTACTTTTACACTTTTACTTTAGTAAAAAGCTGAAGTTTATCCTCAAATTTCTATAAAAGCAGGATTTACCTTTCTGCTGGAGTAATAAACATGAATACCTTTAACAAATGTGAACAGGAGCCACTTAGCTGAGTTATTTCAGCACTCAGAGATCCACTGACCAGCTTTTATTGGACTCCTTCCATCAGCTTACCTTGAATCAGGCTGCGGTGAATCCTGCTCTCTGCTGAGCTGATGCTGAATGGCAGCCAGCCTCTTCTCACACTCCAGGAGCTGAGTCTGAGCCAGGCGGTGAGCCTCCTCAGGACTCAGGGTCCTACTCAGCCCTTGCAGAGCCTCCAAGTGCTGCTCAGCCTTCGTAAAGTCAGCTGAGAAACAGGCCTGGGGAACCATCACGCACATCCAAGGAAGGAAAAGACAGAAAATGATTAAACATTCTTACTCTAAAACCAGTGAGATTATCACTATTCTAACTTTATATTGATGCCCACTAGAAAACATAAAGAAACACAGCTTAACTGAAGAGGCTAGCCAAGCTTTGTTTATAATGGAAGAAGCTAAATAGAAGAATAGAATTCTATTTTATCTTCTCTTTCTCTGAGACCAGAGTGAGAGAATAATGGAGGAGGAAATAAAAAGCTGGATCAATTGAACTGAGCCAAAAGAAAAAGCTCTTAGTTTACTGGTTGGTCTGCATTCCTACTCTTTCCTAGAACTGTGAAATCTTAGCCACGGCCAAAATATGGGAAACAAGAAGCCTAGCTTTCTACGCATGG